AATAAACAGAGTAATGTATTCATGAAGTCCTGAGAGGAAAGGCCGTCTATGCAACATGATCTGCACACATGAATGACAACACCAATGGAAGCCGCTTCCAAATGACAATGTGATTGATGACGGGACATCCAATATTTGCCCCATCGGATGTTTATGAACAAGAATAGTAACAATGTTGCAGTGTGCAGATTTTCTGCAGTGAATTAGAAAACAAAATACATCATCCAAATGCTGCGAATTCCAAAACTTGTAGTAAACAGAGCCAATCTGACCAAGTCATTCCTACAATGCTGAACCGCCATGGGCTCCTCTCATTTTATATATACTGTCCTTACACATTGAAAGAAGAAATCCCAGCAAAACTTTTATTATCTGAAAAACGTTATACTCACCCAAATGTCTGAGCCGGCTTGTTTTAGATCGGTCCTTCTAACCTCTCCCCTCTGCTGCAACAATCTAAGGTGCCGGACCTCGCAGTCTATAGATGGGAGGATGCTGAGGAACATTCCAGTGTTGCGGCATAGGAGACAGGCGAAGCTGGCTTGGTGCTTATATCCGCCGGATATAAACCAGTAAAGAATGGTGTAAATTCTAGCTCATGACATAATTTTCCCTTAAAGTACATGTCAAGCCAATTACTTGTTCAGTTCTTGGTAGTACAGGGAATGAAGGCTGGTTTCAGGAAGGTGGTGGCTCTGTGTCTGTAGAAGCCAGAATGGACAAAAAAATACTGAACTCAGGAGCCAATCAGTCTGGTCCAGGAGTCAACTCCATTGACAACAGCTAGAGAAAACCATTAAAATTAGGAACCAGCTGTCATTTTGAAGGAGCATTGGCTACCTGTGCCCCTGGTAGATTTCCTTTCACTCTCTGCTCCAGAGACACAACAAGAAAAGAGATGACATCCCCTTTAATCAGCTGTCACTACAACATGTGAACTCACTGGAATAAATCCTTTGACCTGTTACATCCAACAACCAAAAAATGGATTTCCTATAACTCTCTGACACAGTGACAATGGTCACCAGTACTAAAAGAAAAAAAAAAAGAGCCCCGGCAGCAATACGTCCCTAACAGAGGTTCTTACTAGAGGTGTTTACCATATCTACAATCATGAATGAACAATAAGTGATGTAGAGCACTTCCCATTCATTCATAATTGGGGACACAGTAAACATATTCTGTCTCAATTATTTACAGACACTCAGCGATCACTGATCTCGGACTACTTGTACAACTCTCCATCCTGACTCGCTGTCGCAGGAGGCTGAGCGAGCGGTGCGGGTAGAAGAGCTCGGTCTCCTGTGACAGCAGACTCCTCCCCGCACCGCCAGCCCAGCCTCCTGTGACAGCTGTCTCTGTCCCCACACCGCCGCTCTCCTGATCTGTCGGGAGGAGAGCCCGACCTATAGTGACACGCCGTCCGCTCACACCGCTCTCCTCCGCAGCACGGCTCAGCCTCCTGTGAAATTTTTTATCCACACCGCTGGATGCAGAGGGGACACGGAGCAGCGCCCAGGGATGCCCTGCAACTTCAGCCAAAAGATGGCACTTTTGGCATTTTGCCAAAAGTGTCATTTTCGGCAGATATGTTTCAGTGGCCGAAATTTCGGTGCATCCCTAGTTCTTACCGTTCTCTTCCATGTACAAAACAAAGTTTCATCTCACTTTAGCAAGGCTGGACAAATCCAATGAGCCAGCTCACCAATGCTCTTTAAACATTACAGGTGGCTCCTAATTTCTGAGGCTCTATCTAGTTGTCAATAGCAGTGGCTCCTAAAAAAATCCTGCTGGCTGCTGGATTGCACAGACTGATCCTGAGTTCCATATTCATTTGTCCATCCCTGCACTACCAAAAAAATAACAATTACTTGCCTCTCCCACCACCTGCAAACTCCACTTGGTTTCAGAGCTGATGCTGCATCGGAAGAATCTGTATCCGTCACTTCCAGATGTGTTGGATGCCTGGTCCCCTCTGACCCATATGTCAATACAAGACACAGTATTGATGTAAGGGGCCAGCGGAAAACACCATTGCGCTGAGGGCTTGTTCACACCATAAACAGTATGTTCCAGAGCAGTCAGCTGCTGGAACGCACTGTATCGCATCCCGGCTTGCTTCCTGATTTTCAAGAGCGGGAGGGGGCGTGGAGGTGCACTGAAGTCAATGGAACCACAGCCACGCCCCCCGCAGTGCGATCGCTTGCCCCAGAACGTGTGGCACACCAGTGCCTGCATTCCGGGTAGTGCGATCTGGAAAAATAGTGCTTGCAACATTTTTTCAGATTGCGCTGGACCGGAACGCAGGCACTGATGTGCCACGCGTTATGGTGCAGCCAATAGGACGGTACACAGGAAGCCGGCCAGGATGCAATACAGTGCCTTCTAGCAGCTGAGCGCTCTGGAACGCACGGTTTATGGTGTGTGAATCGGCTCTCAACAAGGGGCTGGCTATTGGATGCACCTGGAAGTCTGTCTGATACAGAAGATTCTTTGGCAGCAGTAGAGAACAATCATAAGTATTGTCAGCAGTGTGAGAGGAAAGTACTGAAGTGTACTACGTAAAAGGTAAAAGTGTACTTTTTAGTTCTGAATAATAGGGTCAGAGGGGTTAGAAGTTTTCATTGCTGTCACCCCCACTATTTGTTCTGATGACCGCCATCATTCAGTCTAAATGATGGAAAAGCCAAACTTTGACAGCTGTCACCAGAGTAAGAGGTGACTGATGTAAAATTCAAAGGAAGCCGGATGTAACAATCAGTTGCAGCCACTGCTCAGGTATTCCGATAGCCCCGGGCACCGGTTATCAGAAGAGAATAGCCGGCAGGGCAAATTTGTAGATTGTAAGCTCTCACGGGCAGGGCCCTCCTTACCATCTGGTGGAGTGTATTGTAGCTGTAATGTCTTCCTTATATTGTAAAGAGCTGCACAAACTTTTGGCGCTATGTAAATCCTGTATAATAATAATTCACCCATTTATTTCTACATATTCAGCAGTGACGCAGAAATACAGCAATTTTTCTCAATCAATAAAGTGAATGGTGAGCTTAAAATAAAAAGTTTTGGCTTTACATACACTTTACCTTTATTCTTTCACAGGCACATTATGGGGAAAGGGAGTCTGTTTTATAACATGCGGATATATGTATAGAAGGCGGGATCTACCATAAATGTATATTGTGGAGGGAGGTGGCTCTACCATATAACGTACATTCTAGAACACACGTGTAAAACACAAGGCCCGCTAGACCATTTCATGTGGCCCTTGCATCTCTCCTGCAGCACGCCTTTCATATCTGCCACCACCTTGTCTCAGCAGTGGGCAGCAGAGAGAAAAACAGAACACTTTGACTATACTGACTAGGGATGCACCGATATTGTCAAAACTGTACATTTTCATGAGTACTCAAACGTGTGTAAATGACCCGTTACCAAATGCGGATACTGGTGCTTTAAATTTCTAAACTGAAGCCGGAGCTGTAAACAAGCACCAGGTTTCACAGGAGGGCCGCCAAGGTCCCCAGCAATGTCCCAGCCACCTTCCTGCGAATCACAGTGCATGTTGACAGTGTTTTACAGCACCAGAGACAAATCTCCTCCTTCCTGTGGATCCACGACCCCTAGTGAGCCTGTGCAGCCCACCATAAACCCTGCACAGCCACCTGACAGCCCGCGCAGCCCACCATAAACCCTGCACAGCCACCTGACAGTCTGCACAGCCACCTGACGATCCGCACAGCCCACCATAGACTCTGCATAGCCCCCCTGACAGTCCGCACAGCCCACCATAGACTCTGCATAGCCCCCCTGACAGTCCGCACAGCCCACCATAGACTCTGCATAGCCCCCCTGACAGTCCGCACAGCCCACCATAGACTCTGCATAGCCCCCCTGACAGTCCGCACAGCCCACCATAGACTCTGCATAGCCCCCCTGACAGTCCGCACAGCCCACCATAGACTCTGCATAGCCCCCCTGACAGTCCGCACAGCCCACCATAGACTCTGCATAGCCCCCCTGACAGTCCGCACAGCCCACCATAGACTCTGCATAGCCCCCCTGACAGTCCGCACAGCCCACCATAGACTCTGCATAGCCCCCCTGACAGTCCGCACAGCCCACCATAGACTCTGCATAGCCCCCCTGACAGTCCGCACAGCCCACCATAGACTCTGCATAGCCCCCCTGACAGTCCGCACAGCCCACCATAGACTCTGCATAGCCCCCCTGACAGTCCGCACAGCCCACCATAGACTCTGCATAGCCCCCCTGACAGTCCGCACAGCCCACCATAGACTCTGCATAGCCCCCCTGACAGTCCGCACAGCCCACCATAGACCCTGCATAGCCCACCTGACAGTCCGCACAGTTACACTAATTATCATTATTTTTCCTAGACTTCTAGTTTGAGGTAATTATTAAGTTATTACTAAAACCAGTGATAATAGAATGCAGAGGCAATTATTTAATATGATAAAGAGTAGATTTATATATTCTTACAGATACAACCGGCCCTTTGAGGGCAACCATAACATAGATGTTGGCCCCGACGACACCCCTAGAGGGAGGGGGCTCTACCATATATTGTATATACTGGAGAGGGTGGGATCTACCATATAATGTATATACTGGAGGGGGTGGGAT